TCCAGACGAGAGGGGCGGAGTTAGAGCCCAGGAGGAGGGACTAGGCCCGGAGGGACCAAGACTCCGACGCTAGAGGCGGGGCAAGAGAGAAATCCGAGCTAAAAGGGGCGGAGCCATACCTGGAGGGGCAGGACCTAGAGCTTTGAGGCGGGGCGAGGGCGGAGTCGAGACGGGGAGGGGTGGAGCCAGAACGCAGGAGGTGGGTCGGAGGAGCTGGACCCGGGTGGCGGAGTGGGGTAGATCCGTAAATCAGGAAGGGGATCCGTGGCGAAACCAGAGCCCAGAAAGCGGATCGGGGCGGAAACAGAGCCAAGGAGGTTGAGCAGGCAAGGAGCTTGGCCCGAGGCGGAGTTTAGGCAGGGAGCCATTGCCTGAGAGTCGACGTGGAGTCATAATTCAGGATGCGGACTGGAAGCTGAACCAGCGACCAAGGGACGAAACGGAAGGTTTCTGCACTGAAAAGGCGGTGGCCAGGCTGGGAAAGGCGTTACCTCGGCTTTGGAGGCGGAGCCAGGGCTAAGGAGGCAGAGTGAAGGCGGAGGCCTCCAGAGGGCTATGCGTTGAGCCACAAATTTTAAACACCAGTCAGAGATTAGCATAGAACGGGAGGGCGGGGCCGGGCGAGTGACTCCCCTAGTCACTGTGGGGGTGCCGCTTGAGGCGGAAGAGCCTAGCGGAGAAGGGATGGGGCGGGGCTCGGCAGAGCTTGCGCCGGTCGACTGACACCGCCAAATAATGTCCCTCAGTTACTCAACGAAATCATTGTGACTCAGCTTGCTATTTCATCATTTGTAAACTTTGGGCAAGCCTGGTTTCCTTCCCTCAGTTTCCCCGCCTAAGTGGGGTAATCGCCAAGGTCCGGATGCGAATGGAGTTCTTGAAAAAACACTGATCTTAAAGTGAGCCCAATAACGAATTTGAAGAGATGAGAACAACTACAACTTTATACAAAACTGTGCTGCCAGTGTGCTTGGGAACAGTGGGGTCCTTTCATGTATATTACAGCTTCCCTTTCATTCACTCAGCAGTTATTTATTGGGCCTCTATTGTGTGCCAACTCAGGATACCACCCAGGGACCTGGCTCACTTCTTTCATTCTGCCTCTTAATAATTCCTCCAACTGCCTCATGCAGCTCCAGTCCTGCATCTACTGTGAGTCACTGGGAAAGCCAGTTATTAGCATAGGCAAGCAATAATAAGAATAAACTGAAGCGCCAAGCGACTTGTTTAATGTGACACCATAGGGAATAAATCATGAGCATATGTTAGTATAGATGACCTGATATATGGACATAGAAAAGCTGTTCTTCAGTTGAGGAGGGGGGCAGAGTATAAGAGGAGCTTCTGTAGAGAAACTACACAAGGACTCATCGATAAAATCACATTTCAATATAATTTCTTTTTAATTCTTATGTATTTTAAGCATTTAAAAACATGATCCTGAGAAGGGGTCCATAGGCTTCACCTGACTGCCCAAGTGATCTATGACACAAAAGAATTTAGAACCTTGAGACCAGGGGACCAGTCACAGGGGATATCAAGCTCAATTGGCATAACATACTACACAAAACATTGTCCCACCTCCTACTTTGGCAAGTACTGACTGGAATCTTAAAAGCTTGCAAGCTTCGTGGTAAATTGTGGTCAATGTCATGAGACAAAGTGTATGTGAACTGCTGTATGGAAAGTGAATTTGCTCTGTAAATTTTCACCCAAATCACAAT